ACAGATAGGGATTTACTATGTGAAATTACTACAGTACTAATAAATCTCTGCCCCAGAAATGCCCATTTTTAAATCTGTAAATAATAATTAATAGATTTTTTTTATGAAGAGAGAGACTTATAAGATAACATTTTTTGGTTCGGCTCATTGTAGTTTTCTCCTCCAAAAATTATACATTTGTTTCCAGATACCTTTCAAAGTGCTGTTTTTGTTCTATAAAGATGTTTCTGTCTTGGCATCTGGATATCTACAGGTCTGTTTGCTCCAACTAGAATAAGCCTGATCTATTCATATTCTGGACAAATCATTCCTGGTGCCTTATTTTCAGGACACTAAAGTCAAAAAGAAGAACTTCTTAGTAGCTGCCAGGTTCTTGCAACAGTATGTTCATGAAGATCAATTTCTCTCTGTCTCTCTGTCTCTCTCTCACCCACACCCACATGATTTCATTTGAAAGATGCTAAAGACAGAACTATTTAGAGGTTTTGCAGGGCAGAACTAACCACTGGTGAAGAGGGTGTGCTGAAATGTTGATGAACCAGTCCTTCTGAGATGTTTAACCATTCAAATCTATTTGGAGTTGTTTTAAGGGATAAGGGTAAATAAATAAAATGTCCAAAAGGGAACTTTACAAAGAGGCAGGGGAATTAAATGCTAAATGGAGAAACTGGGTGGAATCACCCTTTAGTAATAAGGAAAAAGAAATGGAAAAAGAGGAAACCTTTTGGAAGATGCTAGAAAATTACGAGATTCGGATTTTAGCTCAGTGGCATATACGATTAAGCAATTGAAACAAGAGCTGAAGGGATAATGAGGCAAGTCAGCTGCCAAGGTATGAAAGAGCTTGGAAACATTAATAAACAACTTACAGAGTGTTTTATCAAATACCAGAGATTGCACAGACTTCTAGCAAAACATATGTCGATGCTATGAAAAATGAGCTTGATATTGTAAAAGTTCAAAAAGATATTACAGACATTAAACTAGATTTAGCAGATGTCTAGGACCAGAAGAGAAGAAACGAGAGTTAAAGGCATCAGAGAGAATGTGGAAAAGACTGATTTAATTGGATATCTTATCTCCAAGATTAATAACTTCTTGCTAGATGTCTAGCTTTCAGACAAAGATGTACAATTCTGGGCTCATCTGAATATAAAAGCCAAGAAATGTAATCACAAGATTTGTAAATACTTTGGATGAAAAACAAAGTTGTTCAAAGAAGTTGTGAGCTTGAAGAAACAAACTAGGAAAGATATTGTTTTTCAAGATATTAGTTAATTCATTTATAAGGCTTATAAGAACACCCATCTTAAGAGAAACAACTCTGAGCAGCTCACAGCAGGGGTGCAAAACCAAAACTTCATAAAAGCAATTAAAAATAACTGGCACTAAAACTAATCTCCTTCAGTGCAGCCCAAACTGCTACTCCCAGGCTCTGTGCTAGCTCTATCAAAGTACTTGAAGGGAAGAACCATCTCTTTAGGCCTTCTGAAAGAGTTAGATGGTATGGGATCTACTGGATCTCAAGAGGAAGGGTATTCCACGGGGCGGGGGGTATTATGGAAAAGTCATACTTCCTAGATAGCAAGAGATGACATCATATAAGGTAACAATTATGGTAAGGGATCTGGAATATGCTTGTTGTGTCTAATTTCATAGGACCCACAGGCGGAGGTGATCCTGAAGATGATCAGGTCTTGTTCCAAGTAGGACTTAAAAGGTAATAATCAGCACCTTGAATTACATTGTGAAATAAATGTGGCAGTGCAGTCTGCACAAGAAAGGGTATAACTTGAGTGGAGAGTATAACCTGGGTGAACCTAGGGGTGCTCTATAATGCCCATGCCACCAGATTCAAGACTAGGATGATATTCAAGGACAGCCCTGTGTCTCATGCAGAGTGCACAGCAGTAGTCCAATGGGGAAATGACTAAAAGGTCGAGGCATGTGTGAACAAGACCTCCCAACAATTGATGCACAAGATGACTCCTTACAAAGTCCCCCTAGCCACTTATTCCTCAAATAGGAGCTGTAGAAGGCACCCAAATCACGCAGCAGTTTTGTCTGGAAAAAGCCTAGAGCCAAAGATGACATCACCAGACTGTGGCTTCAAAATTCAAAGCCATTCAATCTTGCCATAGTTGAGACAGAGTTACTTCTTCCTTATCCAGATCCACACAGCCTTTTTGGGCACTGAATCAGAACTACAGCAGCATGACCTATCTAGGCAGGGGTGGAGATGTATAGCGGGGTGTTATCAGCATACTGATGATACTATATCTCATGCCATCAAATGGCTTCATCCACCATTGCATGTAGCCATTGAAGAGAAGTGGCAAGTGAGCATAGCTATGAGGAACCCCACACTGCAGGTGCCATCCCACAGTAACACTGTTTGGAAGTGATCCCAGTGGATGGAGAAGTGCCACAACAAAAGGGTGCCTCCCATTCTTAATCCCCAGAGCCAATCCAGAAGGCTATCCTGATTAATATTATCAAAAACTGGCAAGAGATCCTGGAAGGCTGAGCCAATTATAACAATCCTGACCTCTTACGAGGGCATCGGCAAATGTAACTAGTGTTGTATTAGTACTATACCCCGGCTTGAACCATAATTAAAAAGGCCCAGATAATCCGCTTTATCCATTGCCCTCTGCAGCTGAACACCAACCGCCCTCTCAACAATCTCCCCTAGGAAGAGAAAGTCAAAGACTGAATGAAATATATACAGTATGTTGAGTCCAAGGATGGCCTTTAAAAAAGAGTTGCAGCACTGCCTTCTTTCAGACACAATAAAGGTGAATGAAGGAACCTGGTGTCTCAGTGGCTAAAATGCTGAGCTTGCAGATCAGAAAGGTCAGTAGTTTGGTGGTTCAAATCCCTAGTGCAATGTAATGGAGTGATCTCCGATTACTTGTCCCAGTTTATGCCAATCTAGCAGTTCGAAAGCATGAAAAAATGCAAGTAGAAAAATAGGAACCACCTTTGATGGGAAGCAGTGTTCTGTGCGCCTTTAGCATTTAGTCATGTCGGCCACATGACCACAGAGATTTCTTCGGACAGTGCTGGCTCTTCGGCTTTGAAACAGAGATGAGCACCACTGCCTAGAGTCAGGAACGACTAGCACATACGTACAATGAGAACCTTTACCTTAAAGGTGAATGACACTCCGTGAGGAATGCTTCATTGCATGCTTTCCAAGACACCAGGTCTGATTTTGAATGTTTCACTCTTAAAGAGCTTCACAAATCTGAACTGTTGTACATTTAGCTATGTTTGTGATTGAGATATAGGAACTGAATGGAGAGAAAAAATTGTGCCACAACAGGCTGGCATAACATAATGTCTCCATATTTGAAATAACAATGCTAGTTAAATTTGGCTGGAATCAATGAACAAGAATTCATTCACACTTGCCCATATGTTTACATATTCTTTATGAATGGATTGGAAAGGGTAGAATTAAAATAATTGAACTAGAAAGGAGCAAAATAGGCAAGTAAACAAGTTGCCTAGTAATTGCTAATATGTGTCAGAGCCTTCAATTGTTTCATTACATTGCAAAGCATCAATAGCCCAATGGCAGCTAATAGAGGAAGTTCTTATCTTACCATGAGTAACATGTAGGAAGGATATTTAAAAGAGGGCTGAGAATACAGATGAATCTCAACAGACTTCAACCCTGGGCCCTATCTAACAAAATGAATTCAACATAGAGAAAAGTAAGGATTTACACTTAGACAAGAAAAATCAAGATTAGGAGAATAGCAGTAACTGTGAGAGGAAATTTGGAGTCCTAATGGGCTCCACTTAAATATAAGCCAGCAGTGTGCAGCAACCAAAACAGCCAACACAATCCTAGGTTGCATTAACAGAAGGATAGAATAAAGAACAGGTGAAGTATTAGTATCGATTTATACAACTTTAGGAAGACCACACTTAGAATACTGCATTCAGTTTGGGTCTTTTATTATAAAATTTATTTTATAAATTTTATTATAAAAAGATGCAGAAAGAGGATTAAGGGGCTGGAGGCTAAAACATATAAAGAATGGAATTGGGTTTGTCTAGTCTAATGAAAAGAAGGATAACAGCAGTGTTCCAATATTTGAGGGGCTGCCACAAAGAAGGGACAGTCAACCTATTTTCCAAAGCACCTGAAGGCAAGACAAGAAACAATGGAGATTTTTAAGATACTGGACACTTGTTTGGAATGGTACAGGGTCTCCTACTTGAGCAGAGGTTGGGCTAGAATATCTCTAAGATTCCTCCCAACTCTGTTATTAAGTTCCTTATTTCCACCCTTATAAGACAGATCAAGTGAAGAAACAAATGCTATTTATTGATAAAACTACTTTTATTAATATTGGCTGTAGTAACAGAATCTTGAAAGTCTGAATGTGCTTCCTCTTTTATTCATATGAATTCAGGTGCTGTTTGTCTGAGACTTTTCAATGTTAATCCCCTTATTGCCGTGGTAATAGAGCTTCCTTCTCCCCATCAAGGTCACCCTCTTTATTCTCAGCAGTCATACAGAGCATTATCTGGTGAAATTATTACCATGAGACATGTTTATGGACACTGGTGTGGATGGCTTTCAAACTCGATGGGGAATTCTTGGAGGCAAAGGTCCATGGTCCGGGAGAGTGACTCACTGTTACTTTACAGTTAGGTGCAAAATGACTCTTCTTTCAATTACAAGAAAGAACAATAGCAGGAGCCTCACCTTTGGCAGTATGTGGGAGACATCTGGTTGACCTTTGTGAGTGTAAGCCCTTCAGGATAATTGAGACAAGAAACCAACCCCATGAGTAGTAACACTATCTTTATTGTAAAATTACAGAAACAGAATCATGTTAATGTTAAAGCATCTTTCTACCCCCCTGCCTTTACTTTGCAGGGAACTAGAGAGGGTTCCCTCCGAGATGCTTTCCACACTCCATTCCTTCTGTGGACTGAAATGTATCTTAACTGGCGGTGGCCTTGGCCTTTCCTCCTCTTGTCTCCAAAGGGTATTCGTACAGATCATTACAGTGATTAACAAAACATTGGAAAAAGATAAGCCTGAGTTTGTCTTGCATGGCTATTCTTATGGGCAGATAGAATAACAATGTCAAAGGAAGCATATTTTACATCTGTAGACCACCCAGAAGCATGCAAGTATGATGGGCAGAATATATATTTGATCAAATAAGAACTAAATTTCATAGTCGCAGCTATCAACCAAACATCTTTGCCATCCTGTGGATTTATGGATTTTGCATTACATGCGTTATGCTCCTTATTGCGGGGGGTGGGGTGGATGGGGATCCAAGCTTGTCAGTGTGGCTCTTTAAAAAGGTACTGTATTGTTTATGCATCCCTTAAATTTGAGCAATTTATACCATCATCCACCATTGTCCCAAGAGATCGCGGTCTTAAACTTTCCCAGTGGATGATGTCTCTGTTAGTTACTGTTAATTGAACTCTAAACCTGAAAGCTTCTTGGGGTATAAGGAAATAAAACTCTCACTCTCTCTTTTGCTAATAGCTGGGGCCAACTGGTTGCAAAACTTCAAAGGGGGTTGTGAATCAAAGCTTTTCATCAGTGGGGCTGCTCGTCTGCGTTCTAATCTTTCATGCTTTCTAATGCAATAACATCAAAGGAACCCAAAGAGAATTGTAGCCCACTCCAAAGCAATGTTGAACACACTCACAGTAAAATAACAACCACCCCACAATTAAAAGAAGAAAACAATTATTTACGTAAGTTATAGTTTAATAATCATGATTACTGCCCCCTCCTCTTATAAAAAAAAATCAGATTGTATAGTTCAAAAGTAATATCCAGTGCTCAAGGGACGGCTGGAAGAAAATGAAAAAGAATTAGGAAGTGTCTTATGTATAAGTCTTCAAAGCCAAAGCAACCAATTTATGTTTCATTCTTACTTACTGAAATGTCGTTTGCATATTTTATTATTCCTATCATCTTGCTTGTTACAATCCATCCAAGGAATTCTCAAAGAACATTAAGTCCTACAAATAAATAAACTGTGAATGATGAGCAAGATACAAAATGGCAACAATTAATATCAAAAAGCTGACTTGTAAGGTTCCATTACACCAAAGACTTTTATTATGCTTATTATTATTTTTATTAGACAGCTGCTCTTCTGTGTGGTGCCTCTGGGCAAAGACAATTTTGTGCTAGAAGAAATTGGAAAGCCTTAAGTATCAGGAGAATGTTATTGCTAGTCTTGTATGAATAAAGTAGCGGAATAACAACTAGTTGGCATGCAGTTTTCTTTAAAAAGTTATATGACAGCTCTAGGGTTAAGCAGAGGTGGAACATGACTTATCTAGACTTCCTTCTTTGCTGGTAAAGTATTTCCAGCAGGGTTTTTAAAATGTCATGTAATGCACTTCTATCAAAACAACATATGTGATATATTAGGGCTACAGCTCCCATAATTAATATGCTTGCCTACCAAAGTCCATGATATTGCCTCCCCCCCCCATTGACTTTGATAATATACAGAACAATAATCCAAAATAGGAACAATGTTATATACGTCCCAATATAAGTTATTGTATTTAGCACAGAGTTCACAAGTCTTGGCTAGTAGCACAGGTGATTATCTGGATGTATCTTTAAGAGCTGTCAAGTGATTTGTAGCTTATTTTTGGGATGTATCAAAACATTATAAAGTACTCAAAGGAGAAGAAACAATGGGAAACATACTTACTAGGAGAAAGCAGGCACCGATCATCACAGCTTTGATTTTTACATCAAGGTCCACAGGAATCTGAATGCCAAAGTTGGCGGTATTAGTAAATATGTTATTGACAAATCCAGACCAATACTTAGAGATTTTGCCTATAGTTGACATATCATTTAAAGATTTTACCTGCAGGAAAGAAATAAAAACAGCTTAGAAATTATTTGGAAAAGTTCAGCTGTGAATTCCTGAAATATTTAAATAATTTTTCTAACTGTGATGAGTCCTCCTGACACATTGTTGGTTAACTAAGTAACAAACTGATATTTACTGAGGATTTTCTTGGACAAGGATATTCTTAGCATGCTAATTGTTAGCAGAAGCAAAGCTGAAGGCCAATAAAATGAAATGCAGAGCAGGTGGTTTGTCTGTGTGTTGCCCTCGTGGAACTAAGAGTTTTTCCTATGGTTTTGTGATTTGATGTTAATAGTGTTGTTGTTTGTGAGCCATCCGGGATTATGAGACATCAGATGGGAGGGCAACTGTTTAAAATAAATAAATAAATGTTGTGATAGGCAATCTGTGTTCCCAGGGCTGGATATAACTTCCAATCATATTGTCGGTGTTCATGGCACGACAAAACCGCGGTCCACTAAAGCGCGCCCGATTAAAGCGCGTATGTGACGTCATCAGCAGCGCGACAAATAAAATTAAAAATAAATTAAATTAAAATTAAAATAAAATTAAAGCAAGCCGATTCACATAAAGGTAAGGGTTAGGTTTAGGTTTAGGGTTAGGGTTAGGTTAAGGGTTAGGGTTAGGTTTAGGGTTACGTTAAGCGTTAGGGTTAGGTTTAGGTTTAGCGTTAGGTTTAGCGTTAGGTTTAGCGTTAGGGTAAGGGTTAGGTTTAGGGTTAGGTTTAGGGTTAGGTTTAGGGTTAGGTTTAGGGTTAGGTTTAGGGTTAGGTTTAGGGTTAGGTTTAGGGTTAGGTTTAGGGTTAGGTTTAGGGTTAGGTTTGGGTGGGTTAGGTTTAGATTTACGCGTTAATTTTAAGTTTACCGCTGTGTTCTCTGTAGCCTTTTGGGCTGCACTAGTAAAGTCTATTTCCCTGCATTTTGGAAACAAACTAGAAATAATGTGTATGCTTCAAACAGAAGTAACTTAATTTAAAATGAAAAACAAAACAAATATCTCAAGTCCCAGGAAAACCAAAGAAACCACAGTCCAGCCTATACATACGGTATATGGCATTGTCTCTGACCTTGCAGACCTTATGACTTGATTCTTTCCCCAAGCCTTTAGGTCCAAGCGAATGGAGTCTCGAATGTTGTATTGCAGTACACTTCAGTCTAGTTGACATTTTCTGGCTTTAGCTGGCATTTAAAGCATTATGTGCTTTTTGTATTTGTAATTGACTTTCCTAGTTATCCAGAGTCATTTTTGTTGATTTCGGTGATCAATAAATAACTGCATAGAAGGATCCACTTTTCCTCATCCTCTTAGTCCCTGTAGTTCTTGCTGCTTAAAACCATTAAGTCTGAACTCAACTACCACCCCTAAGTGATGGGCAAGTAAGGGCAAGAATATTTCAAGTGATGGGTACCTGGTGTGCCTAAGAATGCCATTTTCCGAAATTAGCCTTTTTCAACTATGGCACTTTTGTAAATAACATTCAAAGACTCTCGCCAACTGTCCCATTAGCAACATGGACAGGCCATATAGCAATTGTATTAATAAAAGCCTTTTTTTCTGAATTTGGAACTATCTAAAACTTTTGAACTAATGGCTATCTTGTAAAAGCTAGTTACAATCATTGATTTTTACATTCACCAAAGAGGTACTTTCACTTAACTCTTCTGTTCTGTATCTAGGCAGTGTTAGTGTAGGATCCCCACATTCTAATTGTGTGTGTGTGTGTGTGTGTGTGTGTGTGTGTGTGAGAGAGAGAGAGAGAGAGAGAGAGAGAGAGAGAGAGAGAGAGACAGACAGACAGACAGACAGACAAGGGGAGGGTCTAATTCACATTTTCAAAAGTAGAATGTCATGTATCTCATCTGCTCTGCAAATAATAGAATTATGCAAACTGACATCGTTGATAATATATCGGTATGAATCACGTACTGTAGAGAATGGATATTTACAGACTTTCACACATATGTCTACCTTCTAAGAGCTATTAATGCTCCAAGCAGAAGACAAGGAATATAAGAGTGATCAGCATAGAATTATTAATTGAAATTGCATTTATGGACTGCAACTAAGGGGTTTTCCTGAAACCAGCATCGTCCAGAGGATGTAGGTGCTACAACTTCCTCAATTTTCTGTCAGTTTAACCAAAGGCACCCAACATGAGCATTCTAGATAAGAAAACTCTGATTCATTCTACTTTCTTTCTCAAATTCCTGTCTGACATTTCTGATTCAGAATCTTATCACTGAAAACTCAAATAATGTTGCCAAATGAACCTCAAAATCAACATCTCCAAAGCAGCCGCATGTGATGTAAGGACCTGTGATCTTCAACACATCTTCATTATTGCCATTCCTGATTGTAAATATTGGTAGCAGGGGGTCCCATTTCTGCACAACATAGCCAATTGTGGTTCCAGGAGGTGATTGAACTTCTAACTAGTAGGCAATCAAAAATACAGTTAACAGCACAAGGATAACATACCCGATACATTCATTTCTCATTTGTTTTGTTTTGTTCTTTAAATGTTACAGGCACAACATGGGAATTCCCACCAAGATTTGCATTCAGCCCTAAAGGGCTTCTAAAATTTGGGGCTGAATCATGATGTTTCGCTGCTTATTAAACTTATTATCTTAACAATTAGCAAATCTATTGAGGTTTTACAATGAAAACATAAAACCGTAGTTAAAACTGAACAAATTAACACAATTAAAATACAATAATGTATAATTGAAGATGAAAATCAATAAATATACATGTTGTTTGCTAATTAATGTAATTTAGTTTAATTACATTATTTTTCTTAGTTCCACCCACCTTTCTTCTATCTCTTCTCAGTTTCTGGAAGAAGAAATTCCAGGACCAAGTGGAGTCTTTTGTCATAAAAGTTCTTTCACTTTAAGACATAATCTATTATTTCTAATTAATGCCTGTTTATTCCATTAATACGAACTATCTGGAATTTTTTTTAGTATATTACAAGCTCTTTAGACAATATATTCACCCACACATATACATACATAGTTATATTTTCAGTTTCTCTCATTATATCATAAGTTCTTTCAAGACAGGGATGCTGGGTGAGGGAGTATGGTTTTATGCTATAAAGT